GGATCTCATGAGCTGACTGGGTGTCCCACAGTGGGACCCTGTGATAGACCCTGAAGCTTTTCAATGGCGCCCCCTTTACCAGAGCTGGGGACCTGATGAGAACAGTGATAGCAGGGCCAGGACTCTCTCAGAGTCGATGGACAGAAAGCCCAACTCACCAGGGTTTAAGCAAAAAGTAGAACACATTGGCTCAAGGAACTGAAAATCCCAGGGGCAAATCTGGACGGGACTGATGGGATCCCGGGGCTCAAGCAATGTTATAGGACTCGGTCTTGCTCTCTGTGTGTCCAGCTCTGCTTTTCACTGTGCTCACCCGTCAGGTCCCCTGTCCTCATGGTGGCAAGATGGCTGCCAGAGACACCAGACATACTTCCCACCTCTCAGTAACTCTAGCAGAAAGTGAGCATCTCTCTTCCCAAGAGTTTCAGCAAAAGTCCCAGAACTAAGTTCCACTGGCTCTGATCATGTCACATATTCATCCCGGAACCAATCTCTGGGGCTGAGGATTTGGGATACTCTGATTGGTCAGGCCTGGATCACATGTCCTCCCCTGGAGCCCATGTGTGTGAAGCCAACTCTGCTAGAAACCCAGCAGCTGAGATTGGGGAGTGTGCTGGTCAAGCTAAGTAAGCTATGTGCTGCCACAAACAACACTTACCTGGCAGCGGCTAACATAGTACCATTTTATTTCTTGCTTTCATTGGTGGCAGAGGTGGGGCTCTACTAAGGCACTGTCACCCTCAACACGAAGCTTCCAAGGACACCCTGGATGATGACATCCGCAGGCAGGCAGGCAGGCGAACAAAGCAAAGGTTATGCTCTGTGTGGCCAAGGCTTGGGAGTGACACTCAGTCATAGGACCATACCTCAGTGCAGGGGCAATGGGGGAGTTTAGTTCTGTGCCCAGGAGGAAGAGGAAGCAGTCTCCACCATGAAGGGGGGATGGACGAATTCTAGGCAGGCAAAAACTTGGTCTCCCTGGGCTTTCCAGCACAGCCCAACTTCTTCGGCTGTCTTGTCAAGGGTACCAGCATGAAGCAGTACTGGCCCAGTCTTCTCAGCGGAAGGCTCCTCTGTGATGGCTTGAGCTCCAGCTCCCCTTTAATCCCTTGCCTGCCCAACCACCTTCCCACTCGTAAATTGAGTGGTGATGAGACTCACTTATTCCAGATCAGTCAACACACCCATATATACTCTGTGGACAGGGAGGCAGTGGAGCAAAAGGAGAGAGTGGATGGTTGTGGCTCAGAGAGCTGCCAGAACTGCATGTCAAGCCCCTCAATCCTTTTCAGCTGTCCTTTACTGGGGACTAGCTGGTCCCTAACCAACAGCATCTTCCTCTTCTCCATAGTCTATAGCTAAGGGCAAACAGGGATTAGGGTAAACTGAGCCATCACTCACAAAGGAAGGATGTCCCAGCTTCCTGAAGACCTTGGCTGGGAAGGCTATGTGCCAACATTGCTGCTATTAGCAGCTATTCATTCATTCATTCATCTCTGGGTGTTTAACTGTGTGCCTGGCATTGTGCTAGGAGCTAAGGTGAAAAAGATATACAAAAAGCATGATATTGGATCTAATCTAGTGTAAAGGTGATCAGGCTTATGTTAGCTGAACAGCTAAAGATAAAAATAAGACAAACTGTAGTTGAATCTGTTACCATGATTTTAAAATGAATGGAACTTTAGACAGATAGCAACCCCAGGGCATAAACAAGCAACATGATTAGTGTCTCAGAGACCCGGTACCTGATCCCCTCATTCCAGAGCTGTCAGAAGAGCTCCAGGTAAAATGATAATAAACATAACAGCAGCAGTTACCACTCGTTGGATGCGTCAGGCACTGTCCTAAATATATTACCCAAATGCATTGCCTCACTTCATTCTCCCAACAACTGTATAACGTCTAGACTCACCTATCCTTTTTTTTACAGATGGAAAACCAGGGCTCCAAAAGCCTTCGGAAACCTGCCCAAAGTTATACAGTCATCAAGTGGCAGTGCTGGGACCGGCGCTCAGGTCTGGCTGAGGCCCAAGCCTGGGTTCAACTGCCTGTGTGTTAAATTAGAGACTGCAGCTGTGTGGACGGTCCTCCCGCTGCCCAGCCATGCAGGATAGCCATCCGTCTGAACAGGGCGTCTGAGGATAGTTCTCCTTCTGCATCTCCAGGCAGAAGCTTGGCAGATGGAACGTTCTCCACCCACTTGCTTTCCTGTCCCATGATGGCCCTTCCATCTGACTCATTCATTCATCTATTCATTCACCAGATTATCTATCATTGAGATCCAATTCTCTGCCCTGCTGTGGTCAAGGTGAAGGGGGCGGGGAAATGAAAGATAAGACATTTACGTAAAACGTTTTCCCAGGTGTACCATGATGCGGACCACGAGGGAAGGACAGGCCACATCCTGTGTGAGTTTGGGAGGAGGGATCACCCCCGGATTTGGCAGGAGTGGAGGAGGGGTGTGCATTAAGGAACGCTTTGAGGAGGTGCAATTTAAGCTGGGCCTTGAAGAGAGGGTAGGATTTAAAAATGTGTAGCCAAAGGGAAGGATATTCCAGGCCATGAGAATAGCACAGGCACACGCGTGGCAGTGGGAGCAGGTCGATGGGTGGAAGAGAAGCCATGGGAGTCAGGATGGCACTGGTGGGTGGGCTGTGTGCTGGGGTACAAGTCACATCAGTCACAGCCTCGCCCTTCTGGACTGGGATCAAGAGAGCTGGAAATAAGGCCCCAGAGGTAGGTCCTCAGGAGAGTCTTGTCCCCTGAGTGTCTGGCCTAGCCGAGGACACACTTCCCACATTGTCCTGGGCTGCCTGTTGCTCTTGGAAAGCTCTCCATTGCCACGTGTACACCCTCCAACATTACTTCTCAGGCCTGTCAGCCCAAGGAACCTTAGATACATACGGCATCAGGACTGGAAGGGAAGTTTAGCGAGCATGTCACCCAACATTTCAACTTAAAGAGAAAAATCTGTAGGACTCCGTTATTCAAACAGACTCACTCACAGGAACCTCAAAGAGAAAACAGGTAAGTGGTTCTCGTTCAAGCCGGTTGGGGCCCTGCCATCCCATCTCCCACCACTCCCCACAGCAGCTCCAGGGGGATCTAGGACTCAAAGAACCCCCCGCCTCTCCGGCACCCCCCACTTTCATTTTATAGGTGTGGAACCTGAAGCCTGGAGAAAAGACACAGGGGCCCCAGGCCACTTGACAATGTTTCAGGGCTCTTCTCGAGCTTGTGTCTAAGATCAGGGGAGAAAGTCAAACCAAGTGCAGGGATGCCGATGGGCGTGGTTTCCCAAGTTGCATCTCCCTCCCTCGGGAGCAGTGATGCCTGGGGCCTGGTGGCTTTACAGCTCCAAATATCCTGGCCTGGTGGCAGTTGGCACTGTGCTGGCTCACTGATGGCTTATCTCATCCTCAACCTACTGGAGGAGGGAAGTTGGACTGGGTCCATGCAACCAGGGAGAGTGGAGTGGGGGGAAGGCACACTAAAATCCTAATCTAAAGGGAAGGGTCCTCTGGGTAAAATGGTTGTTTTCGCCATGTGCTGGGTGTTTTATTACTCACCAAAGCATTTTCACAGATATGACTCGATTTCATTTTTACGAGCAGCCTGTGAGGTAGATATTCTCCCCATTTTCCCATCAATACAGGGGAGGCTCAGAGAGGCTGAGTTGCTCAACGTCACACAGGTGGTAAGGAGGCAGAAGCAGTTCTCACCTGGGCTGTCTAATAATGGGTCTACAGAGCACAGTGCAGGTGAGAGAAGGAAGGAGGTGGCTCTGTGTGTGTGTGTGTGTGTGTGTGTGTGTGTGTGTTTGTGTGTGTGTGTGGCTATGAGGCTGCCAGAGAAACATGGAGAGCAGGGGCGGGGCCTGGGAGCATGCCTGTGAATTATTATACAGCAACTGCTCCTTTAATCGTATGCATCTCACTCGAGACTGTGGGAGCCACAAGGGAGGGACTCCTGGACCCCAGTGCCTGGCTCAGTGCCTGTCCCAAGGCAGGTGCCTAGTAAGTATCCGCAGCACGAACTGGATTAAAGAGGGCGTGCTTGTGACCTTGTTTCTGGGTGAGGTTGTCTCAAACACCAGAGGCTGCCTTGCCCACAGCCCATCCTCCTCTCCCAGGGCTGACATCTTCCCACTTCCTCTGCTCCTTCTGCAAATGGGGAGAAACAGCAACAAAACCTCTGTCAACACATAAGAGGCAAGCAATGAACACGCAGGGCATCCTTGCCTGGGGTGTCCTTGTCACCTCTCCCCACGTCAAACATATGGTGTTAACCCCAGCCTTCCCCTTCAAAGTCCCCTGACTCTGCCTGGATTCCACCAGGGTGAGGTGGCAGTGGTACCCTCTGTGACAGCAGCTCCAGGAAACAATCCTGATCCCCCGTGATTGCAGGGACCACTCGTCTGGGCTCTGGATAACTCTGGGATCAGTGCCCAGCTCAGCAGAGGAATAAAGAAGATATCCAAGCACAAGACTCACACTGTCAGAAAGACCTGGACAGATTTCTCCAGCTCCTCTGAAAGAAAATTGGGTTGCCCATCATTGTCCTTTACAGTAAAACCTTGCTTTCTTTCTCAGCCCCCTGGAGACACAGTGTATAGCACATGCTTTGACACGCACAGGAGTCTTCTCAAAGATACATGGCTGATGACAAGCCCCCAGCCCAGTGCCCCTTTCCTGCCAAATGTCCCAGAGACACTTGCATCTGAGTGCCAAGGAGGAGAGGTATTCTGGGAGGCCAAACCAGACAGCCAGCACTCCGCCAGGGCTTGACACATGTGATTTACAGAGAAGGCACCTGTGACTGTCTCCTTCCCTGACATTAAGGGAACAGCTTCCTGGCGGCAACCCTCTGGGCCTCTGCAATCCTGAGAGTTGGCTCCGGCTGCTAAAAAAGCCACTTTCTGGGGTCTTCTCCTTTCCTTTAGGGTTCTGACTATAATCTTTTCACTCCCGGTAGGCCTGGCATCAAACACAACACAGGGATGATGACAAGGCTAAAAAGCAGGTCCACTTTATTTACAATGATCAGTTGGTGACACATAGATCTTTGGGCTTTTTGTGGCCTTGTTGAGAGACACTTGGGCAGGGGCCCACTCCCTCACCCTGCTTTGAGAATCCAGATGCTGTCAGGACCCTCCTGCTCTGACAAGCTTTTCGACATGGGGCCATCCCTCCTATGTCCACTTTCTGGGTAGTTGGTGTCTCCAAGCACCTGCCAAAGGCTCTCCTTACCTCCTGTGGAGGTCCTGTCTCCTTCCTGGTTGTGGCGCACCTAGTGGGGAACCACACACATCTGTCTGCAGAGAAAATGGGGTGGGTGAGGAGTTCTGTGGGAGTGCCAGGTGCCAGGGCACAGGCTTGGGGAGCTGCCTGGTGTAGAGAGCCGTTACTCGGCCTAATCTGTTGTTTGGGTTGGTAGGACCATCCCAGTGTTCTCAGAGGCAGAGCAGTGAAGTCCCAGAAATTCTCCAAGGGGTAGAGAGGCCAGGCCCAGGGCCTGAGAATTCTTCCTTGTGTGTATGGCAGCAGGTTCTGTTCCCACCTGGGCCTGGCCTCCAGGGCCACTACTCTTCCCCTACAAGAACGCCTCCTCAGGTTTGGTCTCATCTCAGGGAGGAAGGCTAGGCTGCCCAAGGGCGGGGCCCCTGCTGCCACCTGGCCACCCTCCTGGATTTCTGGAAACTTCTCCCCCTTCCTCTTGAGAAGATGGCTTGGAAGGGAGGGGGTCGTCTATCAAAGAGGCTTGGTGTAAAGCATAGGGGGCAATTCCACAATGGAGGGTGCCCAGGAACTCCGGATGGGGGAGAGGTGAACACTGAATACTGCTCCCCTATCTTGTCCCCCAATAATTAAGGGCATATGAGGCATCACTCTGAGCCAGAATGAGGCGCAGAGCAGACAACAACGGAGACCAGGAAGGAGGCAAGGGCGACAGGACAGGGGCGGAGGACAGGGGAGCCAAGCGGGCAAGGGCCAGGGTTGAAGGCTGTGAGTCAGGCCGGCCGGGTCTGGGGCAGCGAGTCTCGCCCGGTCCGCTCTCAGCGCGCCTGGCCCGCGCGCTCTTTCGGGCCGGCCTTCCAGCGGCGGGGCTGCACAGGCGGCGGAGGCGCCGGGGCGCCCCGCAGGCTGCACGTCCTCAGCTCCCGGGTCAGGCTGAGCACCTCAGGCCGCTCGCTCTGGGGGGCCCCTTCCGGGCGCTCTTCCGTGTCCTGGTCCTCCTCCTCATCCTCCTCCTGGATGCTGCTGAGGCGCGGCGCCCCACGGCCGCGCTCGGCGGGCGGCGGCCGATAGGCGCACTTGGCGTTGAGTAGCCGGCGCAGCGGGGCGCGGGGCACCGAGGCCGCGGCGCCCCCGGCGCGGAGATGCTGCTGGCGCACGTGGCGCGCGTCGCTCTGGCGCTGCAGGCGCTTGAAGTCGCTGAAGGCCGCCAGCGCGGTCTGGCGGAGCAGGCGGGCCAGGGAGCGCGCCTTGTGCGCCCGCGCCAGCAGCACAGCGTGGCAGCGCAACACCACGGCCTTATGACGCGCCTGGTGGCGATAGACCCAGGCGAACACGCGCGGGTGGCGCCCGTCCGCCGTGCAGTAGGTGATGCGCGGCAGCAGGTAGGCGTGCGCCGGCCTGCGGCCCCCAGATCCCCCCGCTGCGCCGCGCTCGCACGGCTGCATTCGGATGCCGTGCGGCCCCAGCGTCAGCTTCATCTTGGTGCCTCCGCCCGGCCCGCAGCGCGCCCAGATCTTGCCCACGGCGTCGTCGGTGCAGCCGTCGCCCTTGGCGTGAAGGGTGACGGCGTTGCCCAGGTACCACACGGTGTAGGTCGGGTCCTCTTTGTTGAGCTCCACTTTTTGGCGCCGGCTGCGAAACACTCGGCCCAGCCGCTCCAGCGGCCAGTCCGGCAGCAGGTCCGGGCAGGACCGCAGGAAGCTGGAGAGCAGCGACGTGTAGGCGAGCCCCGGACTCAGGCTCTTAGCCTTGCACTTGGCCTCGTCCTCGACCAGCACGAATTTATTACGTCTCCAGGGCAGCATCGCAGCGGCGGCAAAGGGGGCTGGGGGCGTCGGGGACTCAGCGGCGTTCTACCCGGCGGCTGGGGGAGGGGAGGACGCACAGAAGTCCGAGGCCCCCGAGTCGTGAGAAGCTGGGCGGCGCCGGAGACAGTCGGTGCCGGGAGATACCCAGTGCCGGGCAGGGCTAGCTTCGCAGATGCCCGGTGCCCAGCCGGGCTGGCAGCCGAGATGCCCGGGCGGCGGCCGAGCGTCCGGGAACAGCTTCTCCCGGGAGTCGCTCCAGCAGTCCGGGTAGCAAGGAGGGACAAGGGCTGGGCGTGGTGGGGGCGCCCCCAGGTCCCAACGAGGGGGATCCTGCTTGAGGGGGCAGGGAGGTCGCCGGAGACGGGCCTGGCGGCTGGCAGCTCCGTGGGGGTAGAACGAGAGCGCGACTGCGGTGGGGACTCCTTCAGGCGTCGCGGCTCCACCTCCCAGGGCTGCCTGCATCACCGGGCGGGACCGCTAGCTCTCTGGTTCCCTCCCCTCTCCCTCCTCTCTCTCCTCCCCCGCTCAGGCTAGCGCTGCTCCTGGCCCCAGACCCAGCACAGGCGCGGTAGAACGGGTTTAATCATTATTATTGGAGGGGTGGGGGTGGAAGGGGCGGATAAAGAGTAGGAATCTCCTGAAATGTCCGGGAGGGCTTTGCCAATGCACATTTCTCTGGCCTCTCTGGTGGTCTCCAAGCTCTCCCTGGCGCATTCAGGACCCCCCTCCTCTCTTTCTAGGATTCCCCCTGCCACTCAGCACAGCATGTCCCTACCCCCTATTTCTGAGAGTGATTTTGGGTGGGTTCCTGATGAGGCCGGCCTGGCGCACTTTGCCTCCTGTCTGCACAGCAGAAAGCCAGCTGAGGTGGCCTGAGCAGTGCAGTGGAAAAGTACTGTCGCCTGGTGAAGCTTTCTCCCAGGTTCTTCCAAGGTCGTGGGCCAGGCTGCTGCGCCTGAGCTGGGAGGCCAAGTCACTGCTCCAGTGTCTGGTAGTGCCCCTCGCCTGGAACGAAGCAGGGAGGTTAGCATTTTAGCAGTTCTGGGTCTGTGGGCATTGCAGATGAAAAGCTCCTTCTTTCTGGCCAAAGGACAGCCTCTGGATTCGCCGAGGATTAAAAAGATAAAACTCCTGTTTGTGAATTCCTCCAGTATTCCCGCCAACACCTCTGGGGTTTGGTGTTCATTATCTCATTTAAAACTCAGGGCAGCCCAGGCATCATTCAGCGACTTGCCTAAGGTTACAAGGCTGCTAGGAGGAGGTGGAACTAGGGCTCCACGCAGGCTTGGGTGACCCATGAGTGGACCCTCACTTCTGAGTCCACTGTATGCTACATATGGATGGGGCATTTTCCATCCTCCCCTAGGACCTTCCAGTGGGGGCTCTTACTAGGGAGGCGTTCTAGTGTACCAGGAAGGAGACAGTTTTCCCTGGGTGTGGGGACACACCTCCCCCTTTTAGGATTGGTTAAGGCACAAGTTCCCTAGAATCCCAGGTCTGCTCTGATGGTGGCTCAGGAGTCACTGCAGTGGGTTCTCCCCTAAGCACTTTCCTTGGCTTCAGAACAGGTCATCTGTGCAACAGGCCATCTTCCCCCAGGTCAGGAATGAGCCTACAGTCGTGGGCCCGGCCAGACCAAAGCAAATGACCTCCAAGAATGGGAGCAGTGGGAACATGGTGTGCTTCATAGAGGGGCAACACTCAGGGCCAGAGGGCATGAGTAGTGAGTGGCTGGGTTCAGAATCCTTGTGGAAATTAAAGCAAAAAAATGCACAACAAGGCTGCATCACTGAATGCTCTTAAAATGACATGCAAATACAGAACAGGAAATAACTGAGAATTACAGAATCTTACTTTAGGATGTGCCTCACAGATTATCTGGCCCACTGCAGCCTCATTTTATTTTCAATATGGAAATGTCTTTATTACCTTTTGCTGATTATAAAAGTAATCCGTGCTTGTGGTATACCCATGTATAAGATGCACCCTTTTTCGAAAAATTTGGGGTCTAAAATCTGGGTGCGTCTTATACAGTGGTTGTATGAGCACAAAAAGAAGCACGAAAAAAACAGGAAATGCAAGTTTAAAAAATCTACAACCACTGTTTAAGATGCACCCAGTTTTTAGACCCCAAATTTTTTGAAAAAGGTTGTGTCTTATACATTGGGAAATACGGTACATCCCACAAGAAGGACTGAATGTTTCCCGGTGTTCCCACCCTGGAGATATAGATGTGGCCTCATTTGCCCACAATAGAACAATCTCTGAGAAGCACAGTGATCATTCGAGTGCTTTTCATTGCTCCAGGTTTGCCTCTGGGGGCCAGTGGAGACATTAACTCAACCAGCTCGCTACAGAAAGAACTTTGGGTGGTTGGATCTGAAGGACAGCTCAATGAAGAATCCTTCTGTCTCTCACCTTAGGTCTCCTAGGTCCATGTTCTGGACCTTACCTTGGGGTTCTCCTCTCCCCAGATGGCCTGCAGCAAAGTCTCGTTTTGCAAGGCTGAGATACCGCCAAGCTTTTGTCCAAGGCTAGCTTCCTGAGGTTGCTAGGGTTAACATATACATACACAGGACACCCAGTTGAATTTGAGTTTTAGATAAGCAGCAATTTTAAGTATAAATATTTCATGCATTTTATCTGAGAACTAAGCCCCCTGCCTACCAGAGAACGAGAGAGACCAGGAAGCCACAGGCAGGCTGCCCTTGGGAGCCTCCTGAGGCTTGTTCACTTAATCCTGGTTCTGTTCCATTCCCAGTGCTTTTGGAAAATCCTCTGGGGGTGGGGGTGGGGGGTCACCCAGGACTGTGCGTGATCACAGTGTGCAATAGTCTGTTTTTATGTTAAGTCCTCTGGACCTCAAAGCAGCATTTGACGTGGTTGGCCCTTTTGTTACCTTGGTAACCCACTCTCCTTGGCCTCCTTGGCAGGCATTCCCATCCCCTCCTCCCACCTCCAGGACCACTCCTCACTTCACAGGCTCCTTATTACACCCCCAGACTTGGCCTTCTGCTCTTCTTCCTCCAGATTTGTTCCTTTAGAGGGCTCAGCTGCCCTCAGAGCTCCCACCGTCCTCTCTGTTCAGATGACTCGAGAAGCCGGCCTTGTCCCACTCGTCCAGGCAGAATTCAAGGCTGTCTTCTGCATTAAGCCTCCCTTCCCTTTACTACAGCGCGTGGACAAAGCTCCCAACTTTGCATCAGTCATCGCTACTTCATAGACTGTCATGCAGTTGGAGTTTTTTATTTCTTTTCTCAATTTAATTTTTATTTATATCATACTTGTATTAGTTTAAAAAGTCAAATAGCTGGCTTGTGGTAGACATAATTTAAAATGTCAATCCACAGCCCTACCCTTTCCCAGTCTCAATTCTCACTTCCGAAAACAACCGTTCTTTTACGCATTTTAGATGGCCCTTCTGTCCTAAGCCTTTTTATTTTTTAAATAACATTTCTAATTCAGATTTGCTCATTTTAAGACATTGTCTGTTGCCTCTCTGCTATGGAAGATGAAGATTTAATGCTCTTTGATCTACCTCTATCACACACATTTTTCTTCTTTCCTTCCAGTTTAGTTAGAACATTTTGCTGTTGTTGCATCAGTATTCAGTGTTTAATTATTATGACTATGCAAATATTATTCAAAGCTGGGCCTGGGAATGTGTTATGATTCCCTTTACCTTATTGGACAACGTTTTTTGCTTTTCCAGGAGTATGTAATTGCCTCATTAAAACAAACAAAACAAAACAACTTCCTTTCGTACCTCTTACTGATTCACCCCCCACTGTCCAACCTGGTTGAACATACCAGGTGACCAGGTGATCTTTCAGGTCTACATGCTTCTTAGAGGCACCCCTCCTGGAGGCCTCCTCCCTGGGCCCCAATTGTGACTGCTTACCCTACTACAGACCTGCGTAGCTATTGTCCTGGGACTTTGCTCTTCTGCCATTCTGGGAGTTTCCTTTGCCTCTTTCCCGGGTGATCCTGTTTTCTGGGTCCTTTGCCTCCCCCCATTCCCACTCCTTGGTTTACGTCTTTGTTTTCGCAGAGCATATATTCCAGGAACTTTGATTGGTAGTTTTGCTGGTTGTTGAAATCTGGATTGGAAATAAATGTCCCTCAGAATTTTGAGGACATGAGCCACTGTTGCTGCTGGAAAGTCAAATGGCGTTCTAATACCTAATTTTGTATGTGTGATCCATTTTTGCTCTGGCAGTTTCTAGAATTTTCCAGAGGTCTAAAGTTCCATAATGATGTGCATTTACTCTAGGCACCTGGTTGACCTTTTAATCTGCAAATCAATCTCTTTTAATCTGGAAATCCATTTTGGGGGAATTTGGGGGTGATAATTTCCTCCATTCTGTTTTCTGGTTTTGTTTTTTTCTATTTTAGTTGGATGTTGGACCTCTTGGATTGATCCTCTAATTTTTTAAATGTTCTTTCCAATTTTCCATTTTTAACAATGTTTGTTCTATTTTCTGGGACGTTGCCTCAATTTGATCTTCCAGCTTTTCTATTAGATTACCTTTATGTCTCTTCTCAAAAATTTTCACTTCTGAGAGCAATTTCTTGTTCTTTTTTTTTATAGCATCCTGTTCTTGTTCATGGACATAATATTACCTATTAATATTATGTCTCTAAGAATGTCAATTATAGTTACTTAATTTAAAAAAAAAATTTTAGTTGTGGTAAAAAACACATAGTAATAAAAAATTTACCATCTTAACCATTCTTAAGCATATACAGTTCAGTGTTGTTATGTATGTTCACATTGTTGTGCAACCAATCTCCAGAACTCTTTCATCTTCCAAAATCAAGACTCTATACCTGTTAGACAACAATTCTCCATTTCTCTCTCTCCCTAGCCCTTGGTAATTACCATTCAACCCTCTGTCTGTGTGAATTTGACTACTCTAGATACTTCATATAAGTGGAATCACATACTATTTGTCATTTTGTGGCTGGCTTATTACGCTTAGCATAATGTCCGCAATGTTCCTGCACGTTGTGACATGTGTCAGCATTTCCTTCCTTTTTAAAGCTGAATAATATTCCACTGTACGGACATACCACATTTTATTTATCCATTCATCCAATGGTGGACAGTTGGATTGCTTCCACCTTTTGGCTTTTGCAAATAATACTGCCATGAACATGTGTCCTTTTGTGCACAGGAGTTTTAAATTTTGATGTAGTCCAGTTTATCTGTTTTTACTTTTGTTGCCTGTGCTTTGGTATCATAACCAAGAAATCATTGCCAAATCCAGTGTCATCAAGCTTTTGTCCTGTTTTCTTCTGAGTATATAATTTTAGGTATTTGATCCATTTTGAATTAATTTTGGGATATGGTGTAAAGTATGGTCTACCATCATTTTTTTGCATATTGTTATCTAGTTTTCCCAGCGCCATTTGTTGAAAAGGCTCTCTTCCCCAATGGGTGGTTTTGGCACCCTGTCAAAAATCATGTGACCATATATGCAAGCATTTGTTTTTGTCTCTTTTCTATTCTATTGGTTTGTATGTCTGTCTTTATGCTGGTTCCATACTGTTTTGATTACTGTAGCTTTGTAGTAAGTTTTGAAATCAGGAAGTGTGAGACCTACAACTTTGTTCTTTTTTGAGATTGTTTTGGCTATTTGGGCTCCCTTGAGATTTCATATGAATTTTAGGGTGCATTTTTCTGTTTCTGAAAAAAATGCCATTGGAATTTTGATAGGGATTGCATTTAATCTGTAGATTACTTTGGGCAGTGTTGATGTCTTAACAATATGAAGTCTTCCAATCCATGAACACAGGTGTCTGTCCATTTGTTTGTGTTTTCTTTCATTTCTTCCAGCAATATTCTGCAGTTTTCAGTGTATAAGTTTTTTGCCTTCTTGGTGAAGTTCATTCCTAAGTATTTTACTCTTTTGATGCTATTGTAAATGAAATTGTTTTCTTAATTTTCTTTTCAGAGTGTTCATTGTTAGTGTGTAGAAATAGTTTATTTTTGAGTGTTGCTTTTGTATCTGGTAACATTGCTGAATTTGTTTATTCTCAAAGTTGTGTGTGTGTGTGTGTGTGTGTGTGTGTGTGTGTGTAATCTTTAGGGTTTTCTAATTACAGTTGTTTTTAAAAGCCTTCTTCAGTTTCTTGCATTGTTCTGTTCCCTGAGTTTCTTTTTCCTGTTTTGAATTTTTTTTATAATTAATTTTAAAAAACGTAAATCTTTGACTTTCATGTTTACAACTTTCCTCTGACATCTGGTAATCATTGTGTCTGAGAGGCACAAAAG